GATATTCGAGTGTGCCATGTGTGTACCACCTACTGATTCAGGGAGTAGTATTGTAATACACATGGGGTTTCCGATATATAAAACTAGGGGCCCACACATTTTTGATGTTATTTAATTATTTAGTCTAAGTGAGATAGATTTCCATCTTTGCGGGTTTATTGTTTAGTATTCGTACTAAGTGCTCTAGTATTAGGACTCTAGATAAAGAAGCAAGTTCCTGCACAAGTATTAGAGTAGTAATTAATAACTTAGGCGTCGTGTCTAGGTTAGATATTACCTTTGTTTGTTGTATATCCCACGGATTTGTCAGAGGTAGACGGCAGGTAGTGACGGCCCTAAATCCCATCCAAGTAATTCTCCACGTTTGGGTACATCATAGAGCTATAACCGGAACCACACTGACAGACCAACAGTAATAGATAGGAAATTACCTTTACTTAACATAGATAATTAAAACACATAGAAAGTCATCCCTAGCCTAGCTAGCCTACCAATAGTTGTTGTCCTTGGATAACCTTAGCGTTAGGTAGACTACACACGTTCCCTGAGTTCAATATCCTTTTGGGGTCATCCGAAGGTTAAGTGCTACAGTGGTATTTCGTGCGCTTGTCGATTTATCTATGGTCGTTACAAATACCAACACATATATACCTAGGAAGCCCAGCTGGTTTACACATATTCTTAGTTAGGTACATCACATCGATTGCGTGGCGGATGTCTACGACTTCCCAATAGGGTAACTCCCAAAAAATAGACTTCTTCTTCCACTTTGCCTTGTGACCATCTTCACTTGCTATAGGTTGGTTTCCTGGTCCCTTTCCAAATAAAATTTCCATAACTTTCACCATAGCAAACACGGTTTATCCCATTACGATGTTTAGGCTTCATACGGTGATCTGACTTCTATTCAAAATGTTTGCCTTTCTTTCGGACATGGTGGCTTGTAATCAGAAATCGTGGATGGCTCATGTACACAACCTTCCTACAATGCTTCAAGTATGTACTGTCAGTATCATCCATACAATGGGTGCAAGCTCGTAAGTTAAATTGCTCCATACAATGGCCCATGTACACAAATGTCCTCATCTCACACAGGGACACCTTCTTTCTTCCACAGTAGTTTTAGATCTTCAACCAATGGTGTCAAATACACATCAATATCATTACTAGCTTGCTTTGGGCCTTGAATAATAATCAAAATCATGATGTACTTCCACTTCATCCATAACCAAGGGGGAAGGTTGTAGATACACATGGTCACAGGGCAAGTGCTATGACCGTTGCTCATCTCTCCTAATGAATTCATGCCATCTGTACTTAAACCGAACCTTATGTTTCGTACATCCTCTCCGAAGTGTTGAAATGTTCTGTCGATGTTTCATCACTGTGACTCATCCATGGGGGTAGCATCCCGTCTTGTTGACGTTCTTTTGCGTGCTAGCACATCATTCTAGCATGCGCTTTGTTCCTGAATAAACGCCTCAGCTATGGTATTATAGGGAAATACCATATCACCCTAGCAGGAACTCTCTTCTTCCAAGCCTGTCAGTCGACATCACCTAGGTCATCTTATCTAATTTTGTATCGTAGTGACTTACAAACTGGACATGCTTTTAGGTTCCCATACTCCTCACCGCGAAAGACGATACAATCGTTCGAACATGCGTGTATCTTTTGTACTTCCAGTCCTATGGGGTAGACTACCTTCTTACCTTCGTACGTTGTTACGGGCAATTCATTTTGCTCCGGAAGAATGTCCTTTATAAGTTTCAAGAACTCACCAAATGCCTTATCATTTTCACTTTCGCAGTGCTTCTTTACATCGCACAGCATATGACCATGATCATCCGCACCGTCGTTATCTTCAACAGACCCGTTCACCTCACATGTTGTATTTTCTGAAAATCCATCGTATTGAGCCTAGTCCAAAATGTTGTCTTCTTCTTCTTCTTCAATTGCAACCCCTAACTCTTCGTGCGAGGCCCAACAATTATAGCTTGGCATGAATCCCGGCTCCAACAAGTAGGCATGAATAGTTCTTGATGTACAATGCTCCTTTTGGTTTCGGCACTTTTTGCATGGACAACATATAAAACCCTTATGCTTGTTGGTATTGGCCACACTAAAAAAATAATGCACGCCATCAATAAACTCCTTCGACTGTCGGTCTGTGGTGTACAACCATTGCCGATTCATCTACATAAAATAAACAAATGTAAAGGAAGTCCACGAAAGTGAAACTAATTTAATAATCATATAATAATTTTAAACATCATAATTAAACTCAAATCTGGCGTTACACATTTTATGAATTATTCTTATTTCAAAAGATTTTTAACAAGTTTTAAATGGACTTCATGAGTAATTATATAAAAATTCTAAATGTTTTGAAAAGTTGTAAATATATATTTTTAATTTATTATCCTTATATTTATTATTTTTAGAAGTTTTTTGAAATTTCTAAACATATTTTTAATGCATTCTTCTTATTTCTACTCAAGAACTACAAAGTTGGCGGCCAGAAGGAAGAGAAACTGGATTGTGAGTAGGCCATGGAGCTGCAACTGCAATGACTCTCAAGCGGCCGAGAATAAGGGGAGAGGACACTGACGTTTGAACTCGTGTCGCAGTACTTCTGCCTGCCGATCAAACCGGCAGTGCAGGAGCTCAATGTCGGGCTCACGCTTTTGAAGAGGAGATGCAGGGTGCTCGGCATGCCGCACCTCAAGGTCAAGAGCTTGGAGACACTCATCAAGAATGTCCACGTAGTATTTTTCCCATCTCACTTTTTTTCTCTCAGTTAGACGGAAGAGGTATACATACACGCCCCTGTACTCCACTATCCAGGTGATCGTTGATGGGCGAAGTCATTTACCAACAATTCCATTACCATACCAAAAATGTTTTCCTGTAATTTTCCATCTTTGTAAATAGTATAGTGTCTAATCTTATTTCTGAGCAAATATGAATTTCATGTCCTGTGGGAGCTAGGGAAGAAGACCGGCCAAAATGAAGAATATACTAGGAACACAGTGGATAGTATTTATAACTATTTTCATGATTTTTAAATGGACTTAGTTTTTCATTCTCTTGTCCTCATTTTTACAATTCTCCTCTGTTGTCTTTTTCTTGACATTTTTATCCAAATGTTTCTAATATTATGAAGTACCCGTATTTACTCTAATACATTTTTCTCTATCATCTTTTTCCATATACCTTTTTGAGAGAGAATGCCGTATAGAAATATAGCTACAAATGCAATATGTTAACCATACATTAATAGAGTATGAAGTTGTTAACCTTTTTGATCCCTTCAATTTGTATAATATCACCGAAATATTTTCAAAAAAAAATTGTTAACACCTCCCCTCCTCCTCCTTCTAAATTTGCAGCAATGCTTCATGCTAGCTAGAGGAGGACATGAACTTTAGTACCGGTTAGTGTTAACAACTGGTACTAAAAAGATCAATATAATCATTAGTACCGGTTAGTAACACCAACCGGAACTAAAGTGTTCATCTTCAGTACCAACCGGTACTAAAGATCTCATGAGGCCTGACATGTTCTGACAAAAAGTGAAGTGGGCCTAAAAACAATCTTTAATAGCGGTTGGTAAAGATAGCAATGTACCATTGGGCTTGTTAACCGGTACTAAAGACCATCTTTAATACTGGTTTGTAATTGATCTGAGAGATTTGTGATTTTACCCGACCGAGCAAAGATCGGTTCTCCAGCATTGTTTATGCATAGTAATTGGCATGCACCCACCGGTGTGCATCACGGGAGAGGCGAGAAACGGTAATTGGACCAGTTAGGATGGAACGGGTTGGCATGCAAACGGACTCTTGTGTACTGTGCTCTTCATTGCACATTGGCTATTCAAATGGGAATCACTGAATCTTAATCATTGATTGTAGGTCTAATGGCTAGACTAATTTGAGATGATGTGGGACATTGTGGGATGAGAGAATTAGAGTTGGTGAGGATGAGTTGTAAAAATATACTAAGTGATTCTCCGTGCCTTGCTGCAGGAATTACTAAGCAATTCTCACTATATTTTTTTCTGACAACCAACCTAGCGGGAAAAAAAAAAGGAAACTTCAGGATTTATCAGTACATATCATGAAACAAACAAATAATACCCGCACTTTAGTATTAAACATATTGATAAGTATACGTTAAATATTATAAAAATGATAGATCAATTTGTTAAAATATTATGCAAATAATGTGAGCGTTGATGATTGCATATGCTTACATGTTGATTTGCATAATTAAATAAATTGTAGATGATGTTGTATGCTTGTATGGGTTAAATATGTAATTATTACTAGTGGGTGATGATGTGGCATAGTTGGATGTTGAGATTTAAACTTAGTGAGTATAACTTTATAGAAAGTATAGATATAGTAATCATAAAATCGAAAATAACGTGGACTCTAATATAATTGTTCAGAAATTTGTAATTCATAAATAAGAAATCGTACCAGCTAGGACTCAAAGTTTAGTATTTTATTAGTTTCATTTAAAATTTATATGTAATAATTAGCAATATGTAATTGATATGGACTCATCTTTGGATATAAAGCAACTACAATTTCAAAGGTAACCAACACGTTTAACATAATTTTAGAATTTCAATATAGTTTTGTGTAATGCGCAGGTTGACAAATAATTAAGGTGTCTAATTATATAGATAGATACATAATTCCCGATAGATATTTATAGATAGATGAATGGAGGATACATGGAATTAATTATAACCAAATTACCTCAAACGAAATTGCTTCACATACTTCTGAAATCTCACGTGGCATTGGATTGACGTGTCATGCCATACGATCTTTGGACTTTTCCAGCCAGCGAAGTCGATCCACATGTAACTAGAACCCAAGCCATTTTCCTACCTGTGCCACTTACCCCCAACAAACAAAGACTATTCAAACCTCAAATGGATGCGCTGAGAGTACACTTGCGCACGACCCTACAAAAACCCAATCGTTGTCGAGGCTTTGCGAGCAAAGGAAACCAAACTGACGCCAAAGCATCACCCGAACACAGAAAGAGGCCATGGCGAAGAAGCCATGTGAATTTCCAACGGCCGTTCTCTCCTTCCGTCGCTTCCTCCAGAGACGCTTCTTGGGAGGGCGGCACCACCACCGCCCAACGTCGACCACGGCAACTGGTGCAGCTATACCACCGGCAGATAAGCTACACAACCAAACTGTAATGATTGATCTGGAGTCATGGCTACTGAGGTCGCCCATGTCGACCTTCCCTTACTTCATGATCGTCGCCATCGAGGCCGGTAGCTTCCTCCGCGGCCTCATCCTGCTGCTGATATACCCTCTCTTATGGCTCCTTCTCAGCCATGACATGCTTCTCAAGGCCATGGTCATGGTGTCCTTCTTTGGGTTGCCCGAGAAGGAGGTGGTCAGGATTGGTAAGGCAGTTCTACCAAAGTTCTTCCTGGAAGGGATGGCCATGGAGGGGCTGGAGGTGGTGAGGAACGCGAAGAAAGTGGTCGTGTTTAGTCCGTTGTTTCCGAGGGTGATGGTCGAGGGTTTCTTGAAAGAGTACATAGGCGTGAACGCTGTCATCGGAAGGGAGGTCATAGCGGTTGCCGGGCGTTACGTCGGGCTCCTCGTCGACCACATTGACATGGACGATGGAGGTTTTGTTGACGAGGTGATGGAAGAGACGAAGCGCGGCAAGGGCGACGGAGCTGTTGGGCTTGCTGGAGTGGGCAGCAAGATGCATCATCTGTTTTCTCGTTATTGCAAGGTGAGCTTTTCCTCTCTTTTTTTCTACTCTATATAAGAAATGTATAAATAGTCTTCCGGGTATGTATTGATGAACAATTTGGTAGTATTGATTTTTGTCACAAAGAGATTTAATTACCAGATTATTATTATATAAGATAAATTAATTAAGGAGACAATAATCGCTAATCATGTTATAAGTAGACAATAGGTTATATTAAAATTAATTACTTACAGTTCTGATCTATTCGTAAACTATAGCCTCATGGCGATAAAGTATATATATACTATTATTCAGCCTATAATGTTAACGTACTATATGGCCACGTTAATTAACTAATTAACCATATGCGTATTAATAATTTAATTTAATATTATCTAGCTAGATAAGTTTGGTCCGAAATTTCATAACAGTTTTTACTTCACCAGAATTAATATATGCAACGACAGGGAATAATGTTAGCATGTACTTTTAGTTAACATCATGAACAATAAAAATCGTACAAGAACTTCTCAAGAAATTCAAGTGAAACGAGTCGCCAATATTTAGACTTTGGAGACGACTTTTACAGAAAGGAGTATGATCGAGTAGCTAAGTTGCGTTTGGTTTGAAATTGGTACACAGGAGGATTGCATATATATTTGACGCGCTCCAAATATGCCATGCATGCATTTGCTCTCTTCTTAGTTGAAGTTAGGTGGCAACAAGTACACCTAACCTATCTGTGTATGACGTGTAATTTATTTTTGAGGGGGCGCTCGTATCGTGTCCAGACCACAATAAGATCTCAACTAAGGTTATTATATTATTAGGTGGTACACCTGGAATTTTCAATCTGATAAAAATGATGTTGAGCTCTAGCTACTTGCATGGCTTAGGTAAAGCAGTTAAGAGAGATGATAAAAAGAGGAGCATTTCGTTGTGTTCTCTTTTTCTAATTGCATCTTAATTAATTGTCACTTTGAGCGGTGAAAGGTAAAATTTGCAAACTCATCATCCATGTAGATGAACAAATGAAACTTAATTCCTATATGCTAATGAATATATATATATATATATATATATATATATATATTGTTACGAGTTTTGTAGACGGTTCAAAAGTAGTGCGCGCTAAGTGCAGAACAACCAGTGCTTATATAAATGGATATATTCTCCTATTCTCTTCTGTAACATGACTTTCTCTGTGCACGCCTAGTGTATTTGCAGTACACGTAACAGTGCGATCTTAATGCAGGAAACCTATGTTGTATGTGACGCCGACAAGAAGGAATGGCAGCCGGTGCCAAGAGAGAAGTACCCTAAACCTTTGATCTTCCACGATGGCCGGCTCGCCTTCAAGCTGACGCCCTGTGCCGCGGTGGCGATGTACACCTACCTACCTTGGGGTATCTTCCTCGCCGTCTTCCGCAGCCTGGCATTTGGCCTCCTCCCCTACCGTGTGTCCGTCCCTCTCGCCGCGTTCACTGGCATGCGCTCCCGTCTGATCGCCGGCCCGTCGCCTGATGCCACCCGCCGGAACAGCGGGACGGCCGGGGGTCGCCTCTACGTCTGCAACCACCGCACGCTCCTGGACCCTATTACCGTCGCGGCCGTGCTGAACAAGCCCATCACTGCGGTGACGTACAGTGTAAGCCCGGTATCGGAGTTGATTGCGCCAATCCGCACGGCGCGCCTGACGCGCGACCGGGACGAGGACCGGCGGCGCATGGAGGCGCTGCTGGCGCGCGGCGACCTCGTGGTGTGCCCCGAGGGCACCACGTGCCGTGAGCCGTACCTCCTTCGGTTTAGCCCACTCTTCGCTGAGCTCACCGGCGAGGTGACCCCCGTTGCGCTGGAGACACGGATTGACATGTTCTACGGCACGTCGACGAAGCCTGCCGCCAAGTGGCTGGACCCATTCTACTTCATGCTGAATTCGAGACCGGAGTACCACGTCGAGTTCCTGCAGCCCGTCAGCACCGCTCCAGTAGACGGTGAGGCAGGCGGTCACGGCCACAGTATCAACGCCGCAAACAGGGTACAGCGCGTGCTCGGCGAGGCGCTTGCATTCGAGCTGACAGAGCAGACGCGAAAGGACAAGTACGAGATGCTGGCCGGGAATAAAGGGAACGTGAAAGGTGAAGCCAAGATGTAGGTGCGACCTGATATCTTGAGAGATTGTATTGAATTAATGTTCTGTATGGGATTCTTTATTGCGTTCATTTTTTTAAACTCGTTTCAGACATGTTGTTTTATTTTAGTAAGTTTATGCCATGCATTACTTATTCTTGTTCTAATGTTTTATTGTGTGCGAAAGTTCTTGTAAACAAACATATTAATTAAAATAAGATTGTTCTGCCTTCTTTTCTATTAATCCCATGGCCTTTTAAAAAACACACTCTTGATAAGCAATTGTTGGTGTTTGATACGGTGACAAATAAATCCTCAAGCACACGAAAACCGCGGTAGGATTTTACCTTAGAGTATTTAAGTGTATCGAATCATAGGGAACGTATGTTTATCTAGGAACATGATCCTACCCAATGATAATAGGAACATGATCCTACCCAATGATAACAACTGGTGGAAGGATTAGGCCAGAGAAGATTCATATGAGTTAATTTACTATGCTTAAGTTAAAGGTAAAACCTCATTGATTGCTTTAGATACTAGCTCTCCTCTGGTCTGCCAAGCTGAGTACTGCTTACAGCTCTATAATGTATCCGAACATGGAGGCACCGGTGGAGAGACCATCTTTGGTCGGTCTGGCAAAATCCACAATAGTCCCGGATCCAAAAAGAACCGGGACTAAAAATTGTTTTTAGTCCCGGTTATAAAAATTTTGATCTTTAGTCCCGGTTCATCCCTTGTCAGATGTATGTCAGGGGGCCGAGGATCTTTAGTCCCAGTTGGTGTTAATAACCGGGACTAAAGATCACAACTTTAGTCACGGTTGGTACTACCAACCGGGACTAAATATCAAGATGATCTTTAGTATATAATCCCTATCACTTATACTCTCCTCCACAGTTACAACTTAGACAGATCGAATCTCACCCCCTCTCCTAAGATCTATCCTCTCTAACTCTCTTCCTCATCCCCTCTTCTCCAACTCCTCCCCTTCTTCCTCTCCTCCCCCTTCTCCCCTTCCTCCTCCCCCCTCCTCCCCTTCCCATCCGGCGGGCCGACCGGTGGCAGCCGGTGGCGGGCGGCGGCGGCCGTGGCGGGCTGCGTGTCACGTCCAGAAATTTAACCCAAATTTTCAGACTATTTTGCGTATTAAATCCCTGTCCAGGACCAGCCAGGGTACACAAAACGACAAGTAATATACAGTTCCAAACGTAAATAAAGCGTAAAATACTTACAGGAGAGGCACTTAGTCCCCACACCGAAACAAAAGCAGCGGCAGCGGAAAAGACGATCCTAGCGGGGCTTCAGCTCCACTCCACAGGCAAAACTCAACTGGGGTCTGAGCCTTGGTCCTCTAACTTTGTCTTCAGCTCAGAAGCACTACACTTCTGAAAAGGGGAAATAATAGCAAGACTGAGTACAACCACCGTACTCAGCAAGCCACACCAACGATGCAGACGTGCAAAGGGGATACAAGGAGGGGTTTGTGGCTATTTGCATAAAGGCGGTTGTAAAACATTTTATTGAGAAAACCGTAAAACGGTTGAGTAATTAAAGTAATATTGAATCTCCACTGATCAACGCTACACCACGTTGAACAGGCCCAACCAACCCACCTGAACTACAGTGCATTGAGTCGATTTATTAAGGTGGGACTAATCACGGTGAATCTGGTCGACCGCCCATAACCGCGGGCACGGCTATTCGAATAGTTTTACTCTGATCAGAGGTGTACAACTGTACCCACAAGACACAGCCCCACGACACGTTTCCATGCGCCGACATGCCACCACGACATACCGGAAAGAGGCCGTGACAGGACCCTTCGCATAACCCCCTCTAGCCAAGCACACCACACCTCAGGTTTCACCCCCGTCCCCAACGGGCAACGGGCAGTCCCCTCTCGTGCCTAGGTGAATCCGGAAGCGACAGAGGCCGTCGCAGGGCCCGCCCCGCTCCATCACGCCCACCCTTGCCTGGATGCGTCGACTAGAGGAGAGCTACACTACAAGCCCAGCCGTTGCCCACGCTGGCTTGTGGTAAGTACGATAAGTTCTTCCAGGGCATCCCGCGAACCGGTCCTTAATTGCCATGGGTGCGACTAGCAAAACCATGCACCCGCAGCCCACCATTCAGTCGCATTTTAGTTGGATAATTACGACCATGAAGCATGGCCAGATGTCTCGAGCACGCAGCTCAATCTGATACTAAAAAGGTCTAATACTGTAATTATCCCATCAACTGAGCTAGTGGTAATTAAGCATGGCTAAGCATATAGTTCTAGCTAGGTCACATAAGTAACATGAGCTAGTCGATTCATTACCCAAGGTTGACAAAGAACAGATATCAAGTAAACATGGCACAAGCGAACAGATAGGTAATACCCGGATCCCATGTAATTAGCAAAACATGCATATTTATTTGTAAGCGGTAAAACATTTATAAATTGGGATCAACATGCTCAAGGAGAATGTGTGACTTGCCTTGCTTCTTCACTTGGATCTTCTGAACTCTTATCCTTGCGAACGCAATCTTCCGAAACGGCGGAAACTACACGCTGGCACGCAAAACGAGGAAAAACTCTAATAAAGACCAAGCAAACAGTACATAAAAAGTAAACAAACATGTAGAGCTCAATTTTAGATGAATTTTGCAAGTTGAACGGCTCAATTCGGAGTTCGAATGAATTAGATATGAATTTTAGAAGTTTTGAGCCATTTAAATGAATTTCTAGAATTAAACTCGATTTATTGCGCACTTATTATTTATTTTTACAAAGGAAATGGACCTCGCTGACGTCATCAAGGGGGAGGGGCGGCGCCGGCAAGCGGGCCCCACCGGTCAGCGGCACAAGGGCGCCGGTCCACCGTGGACCGGGACCACCGAGGCGGTCCACCGCCGGTCCACGGGAACCGCCGGCCCGGATCGGCCCAAAGCCGATCGGACGGCCACGCGGCGGCGCGGCTGGGGCACGGGCACGGCATGAAGCCGGCTCGGCCGAGACATGACGCGGCGGCGGCAAGGGGAAGGCGGCAAGGGGGAGGCGGCAACCGGCTGCAGCAGCTGGCGACGTGGAACGGCGGCTGGCGGCCGGAGGACAGCGGCGCGCACGGGGACGGCGACGCACCCCAAGAGGCGGCGGTCGGCAAGAAAGGGGGACGGGAAAAAAAGGAAGGGAGGAGAGATCCTCACCGGAAGCGGCGGCCGACGCGGAGGAAGAGGACGGCGACGACGATTGCCCAATGGCGGCTTGCGAGGACGGAGGGCGGACGGGGTCGCCCTTGACCTTCCGAAGGAGAAGAGGGAGTTAGGGAGAGGAGGACCGATGCGGGGTGACTGGAAACGAAGGCCGATGGCGATGACAAGAGGTAGAGCTCACCGGCGACCGAGGAAGGAGGAGCTCCGGCGGATTTCCGGCGAAGAGGGGCGGCGGCCGAGGTCCTCCTCGTCCTTGCGGAGCTAAGGGAGGCAACGGCGCGAGTCGACGTCGACCGAAGCGGCGGCGCGACGTGGCTGGAGTCGGCGGCGGCGGCGGAGAGAGGTGGTTCGCGTGGCTACGGCGCTACGGAGGTGGAGAGGGGAAATGGAGCGGTGGCCGAGTTTGCCCGGGCGGCGGCAAAGCTGGCGGTGGCGGCGGAGCAGTGCGGCGGCGACCCTAGCGACGGGAAACGGCGGCCGGAGTTCGCCGGAGTGTGGCGGCGCGTGGGAGTGGCGTGGGGAGAGCGAGGGAGGGCGCGGCGGCTTGGGGAAAATTGGGGAAATGGGAGAGGAGACCACGGGGATCGTTTTTATTGGCTCGGGGCGGTGGGATCATGGCCGCGGAGGACGGAATCGACCGGCAACGGTCTTCGGAGTGGGCTCCGGCGACGTGGGCGAAGTGGGGTGGTTCGGCGCCGGTTTTGGAGGGGGGGAAAGTGGGGGAGGAGAGTGGAGGAGGTGGGGTGACGCGGTCCCGCGGTCGGGGCGAGCGCGCGGGTGGAGGAGGAGGCGGAATCGGCGGCGACGTGGGGAGGCCGTGGCGGCGGTTTCGGCTGAGGGAGCCGGAGGTTAGGGATGGCCCTGACAGGTGGGGCCCACCTGTCGGCGGCTCGGGGGGAAGGAGAGAGGAGACGGTTGGGGGAGAAGATGACAGGTGGGGCCTCGGGTCCCACCTGTCGGAGAGAGAGGGAGGGAGAGGCCGGCTGGGGAGGCAAAGCAGACTTGAGGGAGAGAGAGAGCCGAGCGGGCCGAGGGAGAAGGCCGGCCCGAGAGGGAGAGAGGGGGGGGGGAATTGGGCCGAAAGGGGACCAAAGAGAGGAGGGAGGATTTTATTTGTTTTCTTTTTATTTTAATTGGTTAAATGATCTTCGTGACTTTAAAACTATTTCTCGAGCTCCGAAAATTCACGGAAAATTCCGGAGAGTACATTAGGGCACAAAGAATATTACAAAATATTCCCGGCCAATGATTTTTAAGGAAAAATTTTAATTCTCCCATTATTTCACTTGATTAAATTGCTTTAACTTTTATTTAATTTCCAGAAAATGCATTATTAAATGATTTTTAATCCCGAACGAAAATCGGGGCGTCACACTGCGGGGCAGCGCCCGGCGGAGAGCGGCGGGCGGCGGGGCGAAGGCCGGCGGGGCCGCGCCCTGCGAAGGGCGACGAGCGGCGGGCGGCGGGGCCGCGCCCGGCGGTCGTGGCGAGCAGCGGCATTCTTTTTTTAAAAAAAATTTGTGATGATTCACTGAGATGTATTTGACTGAGAAGTTACAAATTTGTGATTCATTGTTTTGATCTGTGATGTATTTGAGTAATTTCCTAGGATATTGTGATGTATTTGATTTGTGTGTATAAGTAACTTTATGATTTGTGATGTGGATTTGGTGATGTGAATTTGGGATGTTAGTTTGATTTGGGGATTTGCCTATTTGATTCGGGAGAAAATAAAAAGAAAAAAAGAAAAAGAAAAAGGGACCATCTGGTAGTGCCGCTATTCTCTCTTTATTCTCTCTTTACTCCCAGTTGGGACCCCCCTTTAGTCCCGGTTATTTCGACCGTTCAGGTCTTCAAACTTGTCTGACTGTGTCATTCCGGTCCCTAAACTTGTAGATCACTCGTTTAGGTCCTCCAACTTGTTCAATTGTGTCACCCCGGTCCCTAAACAGGACGGTCTAAAAACTTTATATCAAAAAATAATTCATAGCTTTTTCATGTGAACTCTAATAAAGACAAATTTTATATAAAAATTGTAGCCCTCGA